TTTTTTTAATAGAAAAAATGAATGCACCAAATCAGCCTCCACATAAAGACACTGGAAAAACAGTGGAGAATGTGGAAGAATACAGCTATAAGCATGAGAAAAAGATCCGAGCAACTCTTAGAACAACAGAACGTGATCATAAAAAAAATGTACAGTGCTCATTCATGTTGGACTCAGTGGGTGGGTCTTTGCCAAAAAAATCAATTCCAGATGTGGATCTCAATAAGCCTTACCTCAGCCTTGGCTGTAGCAACGCTAAGCTTCCAGTATCTGTGCCCATGCCTATAGCCAGAACTGCTCGTCAGACTTCTAGGACTGATTGCCCAGCAGATCGTTTAAAGTTTTTTGAAACATTACGACTTTTACTAAAGCTTACCTCAGTCTCAAAGAAGAAGGACAGGGAGCAAAGAGGACAAGAAAATACGTCTGCTTTCTGGTTTAACCGATCTAACGAACTGATCTGGTTAGAGCTACAAGCCTGGCATGCAGGACGGACCATTAATGACCAAGACCTCTTTTTATATACAGCCCGTCAAGCCATCCCAGATATTATCAATGAAATCCTTACTTTCAAAGTTAATTATGGGAACTTTGCTTTTGTCAGAAATGGAGCTAGTTTTAATGGTACTTCAGTAGAAGGGCAGGGGCAGGGCAAAGCCCCTCATGGAACACAGACTGTGGGTTACTCAACATACCATGAGCATCTCCAACGCCAGAGGGTCTCATTTGAGCAGGTGAAACGGATAATGGAGCTGCTAGAATACATAGAAGCACTTTATCCATCATTACAGGCTCTTCAAAAGGACTATGAAAAATATGCTGCAAAAGACTTCCAGGACAGGGTGCAGGCACTCTGCTTGTGGTTAAACATCACAAAAGACTTAAATCAGAAATTAAGGATTATGGGCACTGTTTTGGGCATCAAGAATTTATCAGACATTGGCTGGCCAGTGTTTGAAATCCCTTCCCCTCGACCATCCAAAGGTAATGAGCCGGAATATGAGGGTGATGACACAGAAGGAGAATTGAAGGAATTGGAAAGTAGTACGGATGAGAGTGAAGAAGAACAAATCTCTGATCCCAGGGTACCAAAACTCAGACGGCCTGTAGACAACAGTTTCGATGTCCAGTCTCAGGACTACATTTCCAAGAAGTTTGAGAGGCTTGAATCCGAGGATGATTCTGTTGGTTGGGGAGCACCAGACTGCAACACAGAAGCAGGCTTTAGTAGACATTGTCTGACTTCGATTTATAGACCATTTGTAGACAAAGCACTGAAGCAGATGGGGTTAAGAAAGTTGATTTTAAGACTTCACAAGCTAATGGATGGTTCCTTGCAAAGGGCACGTGTAGCGTTGGTGAAGAATGATTGCCCAGTGGAGGTAGGTTTCCAGTAGGCATTAGTATGATATTGTCCTTAGTTCCGTTATTTACTGTAAATTATACCGTATGCTGTGTTGATTATTAAGTACTTCATTTTCTAATATTTGAAGGTATAAATGGCAGTTATTATAAATTATAAATTTAAGCATTTCTATAAAGTGCTGTGACAGATGGGGAAATGGCTCTATAAAAACCATATGAAATTTAAGTTCAGGGTGGTATGCGTAGAGAGTAAGTTCAACCATATAAGTACAGGATGGAGATGGATACGCCATATATAAATAAAGAGGCAAGGAAGAAAGCTACGATCACAGATGACCATAAGCTGCATATAAGTTGGTAAACAAAAGTCAACATTATGCTCAGGTATTTTTAAATGAATTTGGCATCCAAGGTCACGGATATATTTCTTTATTTTTTGAAATCGTTTATTCCCTTTTGCGTAGCATATCCAGTTTTGTTCACTGTATTTTAAACAACGTGAATTGTAGAGAAATATAAGACTGATCAAAGGGAAAAAGTGTACACTATTTG